AGGATCAATAACTTGTGTGCAAAATCTCAGATCATTTGCAAGCTCTGTTTTTCCAGAACAACCATTTTTATTGTGAAAATTGAGCCAAAATTTTTTAAGCGTTGAAACATTTTGGACTAAAATCAGGCTAAAAATAGCATAAAAAATACAATTTTCAATTTATTTCTGAGTAAATGTCTTAAGAATATTTTTCTGTTTTTATGTGCCCTAGCTGATCTATGTAAAAAAATTAAATTTTAATTTTTCAGGCTTATCAAATTTGTACAAAAAAGTCAATGAATACAAAGTGCTCTTGAAACAAAGCTTAATGTTGCAAATATCAGCCAAAACATACTGATGGTTTCCCTCCTTCAGGTTTGTTTTTAATATAATAACTATATACAGCTACAATAGCCCAGAAAGTTCTCAAAATATAATCCAGGATTCAGTTATAATAGATGTGTACTGGTATGTTCCTTAGTTGTTATCCTCAACTGTTCTCACATTTTATTTGTCTCCATGTTCTGTGACAAATAAAACCTAACACCAGAAGTTACATATTACACCGGTACCGTTGGCCTAGTGGTTAAGGCGTCTGCCTTCAGATTGGGAGGTCGAAGGTTCGAGTCCCACAAGGAGCGTTCATGGAAGGATGAATGTTTCTCGTGGGACTCGTTCCGAAACGGCCGCTTCCTGAGCCACAAGGTAGTTAAAATGGTTTTTGATTTCTATTTGTATAGCCTCTGGCTTAGTGGTAAGAGTTGGGAGGTACATGGTATTCAAGCAAAAAGGTGTCTCGTATGTCAGAAATGGCTGACCCTTTCAGCAGGGATGACACTATAATAAACAAGACCTTTACCTTTTACACCATTACCAAAGTATTACACCAACACCGACACTCATAAAGGTGAGTAGCTAAGGATTGCCTCACAATTGGAATAGTTGAGCTAAAAACTGAACCTTTTTAATTATAAATGAGTAAAAGAAATTTCATAGATAAGTTAATTTGATATAATCAATAATGCTAAAACTTACCAGCTTGAAGACTAGTTTTGTCACCTTTCTTGATGTAACTGGAAAACACTTGCACAAATTGATTTGGATGATATTCATAAGTTTTGCCTAAATAATCATAGTGGTGAGTCACTTCACTGAAATCCTCACTGAAAACAAAATAAAAAACAAGCAATTATAGTATTGCAAGCAATCCATAAGTCCCCTAACGGTTAGAACCCCATAAACATTCTGAAGGGCCATTGGCCATTCACTAATGTTTCAATTTTTCTCTATTTTAAGTAAATTTGTTGGAAAAGTTCTTTAAAAGTGATCATAGGAAACAGTTTTTATGAACAGAAAGACAGACGGACTGAAGGACACTCTAAAGTTAATAATTTGAAACATCCCTGTTACCAAAAATATAACAATTTTAAAAGCAAAATTCTTAAAAGAGGAGATAAGTCTTGAATTAAAGATGCAATTTCATAAAAATTTTCAGCTCTTTTTGACTTATCACAAATATTGTTATATTTGCCATGTTTTAAGTCTATTTGTTGCCAAGGCAACTAATATTTTTTCAAAATAGGAAGAGCAGATAAGACATGCATAATCTCAAGACTGCTATTTACCCGTATGTCAAGTTTCATAAAAATATTTCCAGTACTTTTTTGAGTTATCACTGAATTCAGTTTATGTGTAAAATTTGCCATATTTTCAGTCTATGTGTTGCCATAGCAACCAGAACTTTCAACATAGGAAGAAAATAAAAAGATGTGTATAATCTCCAGACTGCCATCTACCCATATGTCAAGTTTAATAAAAATATTTCCAGTACTTTTTGAGTTATCACTGGATCCAGTTTGTGTAAAATTTGCCATATTTTCAGCCTATTTGTTGCCATAGCAACCAGAATTTTCAACATAAGAAGAAAAGAAAAAGACATGCATAATCTCAAGACTGCCATCTACCCATATGTCAAGTTTCATAAAAATATTTCCAGTACTTTTTGCGTTATCACTGGTTCCAGTTTATGTGTAAAATTTGCCATATTTTCAGCCTATTTGTTGCCATAGCAACCAGAATTTTCAACATAGGAAGAAAAGAAAAAGACGTGCATAATCTCCATACTGCCATCTATCCATACACCAAGTTTCATAAAAATATTTTCAGTACTTTTCAAGTTATCGCGGGATCCAGTTTTGTGGACGGACGGACTGACGGACGGACAGACAGACGGACGGAGAGACAGACGGACGGACAGACGGACGGTAAACCTTAAGTCCCCTACGGTAAACCGGTAGGGGACTAATAATTTCGTTTAGATTGTTCTATACAAAACAAGCAATTATCATAGTATTGCAAGCAATCCATAAGTCCCCTAACGGTTAGAACCCCATCAACATTCTGAAGGGCCATTGGCCATTCACTAACGTTTCAATTTTTCTATATTTTAAGTAAATTTGTTGGAAAAGTTCTTTAAAAGTGATCACAGGAAACAGTTTTTATGAACAGACAGACAGACAGACTGAAGGACACTAAAGTTAATATTTGAAACATCCCTGTTACCAAAATATAACATTTTCAAAAGCAAAATTCTTAAAGAGGAGATAACTCTTGAATTAAAGATGCAATTTCATAAAAACAAGATATGTTTGTAAAACATGTATGCCCCCTATCAGCAGCCAATTAGTCATGTGATAAGGTTATTATGCATGACGTCTGACCCAGTGATCAAACAATTAATAAGGGTTATAAAGTATCTACTGGTCATGACCTTGACCTTTGACCCCTTGACCCAAAATTCAATAGGGGTCATCTGCTGGTCACGACCAATCATCATACAAAGTTTGAAGTTCCTAGGCCTAGGCGTTTTTAGTTAATTGATCAGAAACCGTTTTTACTTACAAGGTCAATGTGACCTTGACCTTTGACCCCTTGACCCCAAAATCAATAGCGATCATTTGCTGGTCATGACTAATCACCATGCCAAGTTTGAAGTTCCTAGGCCTAAGGGTTCTTTTATTATTGATCCGAAACTGTTTTAACATACAAGGTCAATGTGACCTTGACCTTTGACCCCTTGACCCCAAAATCAATAGGGGTCATCTGCTGGTCATGACCAATCACCATGCCAAGTTTGAAGTTCTTAGGCCTAAGGGTTCTCTTATTATTGATCGGAAACCGTTTTAACATACAAGGTCAATGTGACCTTGACCTTTGACCCCAAAATCAATAGGGGTCATCTACTGGTCATGACCAATCACCATGCCAAGTTTTGAAGTTTCTAGGCCGAAGCGTTCTTTAGTTATTGATCAGAAACCGTTTTTTACTTACAAGGTCATTGTGACCTTGACCTTTGACCCCTTGATCCCCATAATCAATAGGAGTAATCTGCTGGTCATGACAAATCACCATACAAGTTTGAAGTTCCTAGGCCTAAGCGTTCTTGATTTATTGATCAGAAACCGTTTTTAACTTACAAGGTCATTGTGACCTTGACCTTTGACCCCTTGATCCCAAATCAATAGGAGTAATATGCTGGTCATGACAAATCACCATACCAAGTTTGAAGTTCCTAGGCCTAAGCGTTCTTTGAGTTATTGATCAGAAACCGTTTTTACTTAAAAGGTCAATGTGACCTTGACCTTGACCCCTTACCTAAAACTCAATAGGGTCATCTGCTGGTCATGACCAATCATCACACAAAGTTTGAAGTTCCTAGGCCTAAGCGTTTTTAGTTAATTGATCAGAAACCGTTTTTACCTACAAGGTCAATGTGACCTTGACCTTTGACCCCTTGACCCCAAAATCAATAGGTCATCTGCTGGTCATGACCAATCACCATACCAAGTTTGAAGTTCCTTAGGCATAAGGTTCTTAAGTTATTGATCCGAAAGCATTTTTACCTACAAGGTCAATGTGACCTTGACCTTTGACCCCTAGACCCCAAAAATAATAGGGGTCATCTACTGATCATGACCAATCACCATCTCAAGTTTGAAGTCCCTAGGCCTAAGGGTTCTTTCATTATGATCGGAAACCGTTTTTACCTACAAGGTCAATGTGACCTTGACCTTTGACCCCTTAACGCCAAAAATCAATAGGGGTCATCTGATTGGTCATAACCAATCACCATACCAAGTTTGAAGTTCCTAGGCCTAAGGGTTTCTTTTGTTATTGATCAGAAACCGTTTTTAATTAAAAGGTCAATGTGACCTTGACCTTTGACCCCTTGACCCCAAAATCTATACGGGTCATCTACTGATCATGACCAATAACCATACCAAGTTTGAAGTTCCTAGGCCTTAAGGTTCTTTAGTTATTGATCGGAAACCGTTTTTATGTACAAGGTCAATGTGACCTTGACCTTTGACCCCAAAATCAATAGGGGTCATTTACTGATCATGACCAATCACCATACCAAGTTTAATGTTCCTAAGCCTTAAGGTTCTTTAGGTATTGATCGGAAACCGTTTTTACCTACAAGGTCAATGTGACCTTGACCTTTGACCCCTTGACCCCAAAATCAATAGGGGTCATCTAACTGATCATGGACCAATCACCTTACCAAGTTTGAAGTTCCTAGGCCTTAAGGTTCTTTAGTTATTGATCGGAAACCGTTTTTTGCTTTTCAAGGTCAATGTGACCTTGACCTTTGACCCCTTGACCCCAAAATCAATAGGGGTCATCTACTGGTCATGACTAATCACCATACCAAGTTTGAAGTTCCTAGGCCTTAAGGTTCTTTAGGTATTGATCGGAAACTGTTTTTGCTTTCAAGGTCAATGTGACCTTGACCTTTGACCCCTTGACTCCAAAATCAATAGGGGTCATCTACTGGTCATGACCAATCACCATACCAAGTTTGAAGTTCCTAGGCCTTAAGGTTCTTTAGTTATTGATCGGAAACCATTTGGTCTACGGACCGACAGACCGACGGACCAACAAGTGCAAAGCAATATACCCCCTTTTCTTCGAAATGGGGGCATAATTATATTTTTATTTTTTTAATATATTACTATTTTGTTACATGAATAACAAGATAAAACATATTGAAGGTCAAATCAATGCGACTAGCATCTTCTTCTGCATAATTAGGCTTGGTATCACTCATTTGAATTTTTGTTAAAATCCAACCAGCAGTTTGGCCTTTAAAAGCTGGAAGAGGATGATCTACCTTAATCTCTGGCAGTCATTTTGTGAAGAAAAGTGGAACATGCCAGCAATGTGCAAAACAAGGGTTGGTACCAATCACTCCTGTAAAATTTTGCCAAAAATCCTGTCAGCAGTTTGACTCGTAAACGGCAGACAAGGATTTTCTATTTTTAGCGTTGGCCGACAGATACCCCTGGGGCTATTAATTTGAACAATCTTGGTAGAGGTCCACAAGACAATGCCTCATGCACAATATCTATGCTCTAGGCCTTTTAGTTCTGACAGTATTTTTAAATTTCTTTCTGTTATTCTTTCGGTTTTCCAAGGCAAACCAGATTTTTGCATGAAATCAAATTTTTATTAATGTTTTTGGAAGCCTTTTATCAAAGGAACAATACTGGCATGTTCGGTTGAAATTAGACTTGCGCTTTTGAAGGATAAGATTTTTTAAGTTCAATATAAAATCTATGTAACAGACAAACTTGCACGTGCACACAAACAGAGGTAAATCGCTTTATGAATCGCAATCTATGATGAGATGGCATAAAAAGCATTAAATTTTATCTCACCTGCCACAAATGAAATCCCAGTAATTCTTTAAACAGTTATTTTTAAAGATCCTGTTCTTGAAGTATCCATTATCAGATAATGTAGTCATCAGTTTCTTGACCTGTTAGAACAAAAAAGAGAAATGAGCCGTGCCATGACAAAACTAACATAATGGGTTTGCGACCAGCATGGATCTGGGCAGTCTGATCAGGATCCATGCTGTTTGCTATCAGTTTCCCTACTTGTTATAGGGTCTGTAAGCGAACAGCATGGATCCTGATCAGACTCCATAATATTGTAAACTATTAACAAAAGCAGATATAAAATTAAAATTTTAAACTGATATCACAAAGTTCATATTTCTTTCTGAAAGAGTGAATGTGTAAAAACATTACTGGTAGCTATTGCTAAGGGAAAACAACACCCAAAGAATGTGTACACAGGAGGAAAATCAATGACTCCCTGGGCAGGCCAATTTTGAGTCCCAGGGCTTTTATTTGGACAAACTTGGTAGAAACTCACAAGAAGATGTTTCATGCTAAATTTCTAAGCTCTAGATTTTTGAGGGTTTTTTTTAAGAATATTTTTAAGTTTTTAAAATATAAATAAATATAAAGAACTCCCTTGGGCAGGGCCAATTTTGACTACTGGGCGTTCATTTGAAAAACTTGGTGCACACCCATTTGAAGAGTTTTCATGGTTAATATCTAAGCTTTAGCTCTTTGGGTTTTTAAAAAAGATTTTTTAATGTTTTTACTATATACATAAAAGGAAAATCAATGATTGCCTGGGACAGAACCAATTCTGACTGTCAACAATTGGACTTCATGATAAGCATTATATATCAAAGCAGTTTTATAACCTTGGACGCCACTATGAGTGTAACAAAATTGCAGAGCATTGGATGTCTCTAATAAGCTCATTGATAAAAAAAATGTATTAAGGAATCATTTTGAAAATTATTTCACATTTAAAGTTATTTCCTATGTTTTTACTTGCACTCTTGCTCTGTAGTTTAAACTAGAACTATCACTAAATGTGATTAATACCCCCACAAGTCTGCTTCGGAAATGAGGATGTTACTAGTAACAGAATACCTAGAATGTAATAGAATTGAAACATAGAGTTATGGTTGTGGGCAATTAAAGATAATTGTGGTTCATGTATGTTACATTTCCTTTCAATGTGGTTGGCCATTGATGAAGTTTAATTGAATTACTCTGTAATAAGTCCAGAAAGACAAAGAAAAAGAACAAAGGGCAATAACTCTATAAATACTGAAGATAGAGTTATAGTTCTTGTGCACTGCACTTCCTGTTACTGTGTTTGACCATTGTATGAAGTTGTTTTGAATTCCAACCAGTACGTTTTAAGTTATGCTCAGGACAAGGAAAAGTATCAAAGGGCAGTAACTCTGTATTTTGTCAAAATGGAGTTATGGCTCTTGTGCACTGCACTTCCTTTTAATGTCCTTGACAGCTGTATGAAGTTGTACTGAATTCCAAACAGTAGTTTTCAAGTTATGCTCTGGACAAGGAAAAGTAACAAAGGGCAATAACTCTGTAATTAGTCAAGATGTAGTTATGGTTCTTGTGCACTGCACTTCCCCTAATTGTGCTTGACCATTGTATGAAGTTGTTTTGAATTCCAACCAATGGTTTCAAGTCATTGCTTGGACAAGGAAAAGTAACAAAGGGCAGTAACTCTGTAATTAGTCAAGATGGAGTTATGGTTCTTATGCACTGCACTTCCTCTCAATGTGCTTCACCATTGTATGAAGTTATAATGAATTTCCAACAATAAGTCTTCAAGTTATGGTCAGGGACAAATGAAAGCGATGGAAAAGTAACAAAGGGCAATACTCTGTAATTGTCAAGATGGAGTTATGGTTCTTGTGCACTGCACTTCCCCTTATTGTGCTTGGCATTGTATGAAGTTGTTTTGAATTCCAACCAGTAGTTTTAAAGTCATGCTCTCTGACAAGGAAAAGAAACAAAGGGCAGTAACTATGTAATAAGTCAAAATGGAGTTATGGTTCTTGTGCACTGCACTTCCTCTCAATGTGCTGGACCATTGTATGAAGTTATAATGAATTGCAACAACTTAGTCTTTCAAGTTATGGTTCTGGACAAAAGAAAGCAATGGAAAAGTAATAAAGGGCAATAACTCTGTAATTACTTTAGATAGAGTTATGGTTCTTATGCACTGCACTTCCTCTCAATGTGCTTGACCATTGTATGAATTATATTGAATTCCAAACCATAAGTCTTCAAGTTATGGTCCGGACAAAAAAAAAAAGGCAATGGAAAAGCAACAAAAGGGCAATAATTCTGTAATTACTTTAGATAGAGTTATGGTTTTTGTGCACTGCACTTCCTTATTGTGTTTGCAAATTGTATAGAAGTTGTTTTGAATTCCCCAACCAGTAGTTTTTCAAATTTATGCCCCGGACAAGAAAGTAACAAAGAGCAATAAACTTCTGTAATTAGTCAGATAGAGTTATGGTTCTTGTTGCACTGCACTTCCCCTTATTGTGTTTTGACCATTGTATGAAGTTGTTTTGAATTCAACCAGTAGTTTTAAAGTCATGCTCTGGGCAAGGAAAAGAAACAAAGGGCAGTAACTCTCTAATAGTTCAAGATGGAGTTTATGGTTCTTGTGCACTGCACTTCCTCTCAATTTGTGCTTGACCATTGTATGAAGTTCTATTGAATTCAAACCATAAGTCTTCAAGTTATGGTCCGGACAAAAAAAAAAGAAGGCAATGGAAAGCAACAAAGGGCAATAATTCTGTAATTACTTTAGATAGATTATGGTTCTTGTGCACTGCACTTTCCCTTATTGTGATTTGACAATTGTATGAAGTTGTTTTGAATTCCAACCAGTAGTTTTCAAGTTATGCCACGGACAAGGAAAAGTAACAAAGGGCAATAACTCTGTAATTAGTCAAGATAGAGTTATGGTTCTTGTGCACTGCACTTCCCCTTATTGTGTTTGACCATTGTATGAAGTTGTTTTGAATTCCAACCAGTAGTTTTAAAGTCATGCTCTGGGCAAGGAAAAGAAACAAAGGGTAGTAACTCTCTAATAAGTCAAGATGGAGTTATGGTTCTTGTGCACTGCACTTCCTCTCAATGTGCTTGACCATTGTATGAAGTTATATTGAATTCCAACCATAAGTCTTCAAGTAATGGTCAGGACAAAAAAAAAGAAGGCAATGGAAAAGCAACAAAGGGCAATAATTCTGTAATTACTTTAGATAGAGTTATGGTTCTTGTGCACTGCACTTTCCCTTATTGTGCTTGACAATTGTATGAAGTTGTTTTGAATTCCAACCAGTAGTTTTCAAGTTATGCCCCGGACAAGGAAAAGAAACAAAGGGCAATAACTCTGTAATTAGTCAAGATAGAGTTATGGTTCTTGTGCACTGCACTTCCTCTCAATGTGCTTGACCATTGTATGTAGTTATATTGAATTCCAACCATTAGTTTTCAAGTTATGCTCAGGACAAGGAAAATGCAACGGACGTCTGGACCGACCAACCGACCAACCAACCGACCGACCGACCACCGGGTGACTCCTATATACCCCCCCAAACTTCGTTTTTGGGGGTATAATTATTACTCCGATTTTACGTATAATTTGTTCTATTTTTTTTTGCTCATGAGTTTGACTCATAAAACTGTCTTTGGCTGTTTGTTGTAATTAAACTTCAATGTGAATGCTTTCAACATAACATGTGTGCTTTATATGATTAACTCGTATACTACATGTATTTGTTATTTGGTTGGGGCCATCTACATTATCAGTTGTTCTCAAAGTCCATCTGTAGTCAATGCTTAGCTCCATCAAAATAAACTAGACCTATCACTGAAGGTGATTAATACCCCCACCAGCAACTTTGACTTTTTGAAAAATAAGTAGTCTGAAGAAAAATTTGAACACAAACTACCAACCTGCACAAAGAAATATTTCAATTAATTGTAATCCAAACTGGAGTCTCCAAATAAGCTTGCTTTTCACAAAGTTTGATTACAATACCTCATTCCTAACTCTAGTTATTGTCCGGAAACCATATTTCTATTTATAGTAACACTGTAACGGTGATCTTGACCCTAGCGGGTCCAAATGCAATACCAACCCAGGTCTTCATATAAGCTTGCTATACACCAAGTTTGATTACAATATCTCATTCCTAACTCAAGTTATTGTCCAGAAACCATTTTTCTATTTTTAGTAATGGTGACCTTGACCCCAGGGGGTCCAAATGCAATACCAACCAAGGTCTTTATATAAGCTTGCTATACACCAAGTTTGATACCTAACTGTAGTTATTGTCCGGAAACCATTAAATAAAGGTGACCTTGACCACAAGGGGTCCAAATGCAACACCAACCCAGGTCTTCATATAAGCTTGCTTTACACAAAGTTTGATAACAATATCTCATTCCTAACTCTTAGTTATTGTCCGTAAACCATTTTTCTATTTTTAGTAACGGTGACCTTGACCTTGACCCCAGGGGGTCCAAATGCAATACCAACCCAGGTCTTCATGTGAGCTTGCTATACACCAAGTTTGATAACAATATCTCATTCCTAGCTCTAGTTATTGTCCGGAAACCATTTTTCTATTTTTAGTAACGGTGACCTTGACCCCAGTGGGTCCAAATGCAATACCAACCCAGGTCTTCATTTAAGGTTTCTATACACCAAGTTTGATTACAATATCTCATTCCTAACTCTAGTTATTGTCCGGAAACCATTTTTCTATTTTTAGTAATGGTGACCTTGACCCCAGGGGGTCCAAATGCAATACCAACCGAGGTCTTCATATCAGCTTGCTTTACACCAAGTTTGATAACAATTTCTCATTCCTAACTCTAGTAATTGTCTGAAAACCATTTTTCTATTTTTAGTAATGGTGACCTTGACCTTGACCCCAGGGGGTCCAAATGCAATACCAACCGGAGTTTCCACATAAGGTTGCTATATACCAAGTTTGATTACAATACCTCATTCCAAACTCTAGCAATCGTCCGGAAACCATGATGTGGACCGACCGACGGACCGACCAACCGACAAGCTGACTCCTACATACCCCCCCTAAACTTCGTTTGTGGGGGTATAATAAAACTAGAACTATCACTAAATGTGATTAATACCCCTGCAAGACTGCTTTGGAAATGAGGATGTTACAAGTACAAAATTCCTTGTAAAAGAATTGAAATAGAGTTATGGTTGTGGGCAATTAAAGATAGTTGTTGTTCTTGTATGTTGCATTTCCTTTCAATGTGGTTGGCCATTGATGAAGTTTTATTGAATTAATAAGTCCAGAAAGACAAGGAAAAGGAACAAAGGGCAATAACTCTATAAATACTGAAGATGGGGTTTTGGTTATTGTACACTGCACTTCCTCTCATTGCACTTGACCATTGTATGAAGTTGTATTGAATTCCAACTACAAGTTTCCAAGTTATGCACAGGACAAAAGAGTAACAAAGGGCCATAACTGTAATTAGTCCAAAAGAATTATGGTTCTTGTGCACTGCACTTCATCTCACTGCCCTTGACCATTGTATAAAAATTTATTGAATTCCAACCATTAATTTTCAAGTTATGCACTGGACAATAAAAAGTAACAAAGGGAAAAAGCTTTGAAATGAGTCAAGAAAGAGTTATGATTTCTGTACACTGCGCTTCCTCTCAATATACTTGACCATTGTATGAAATAGTATTGAATTCCAACTAGAAGTTTGCAAGTTATGCTCTGGACAAGGAACAAGAGGGCCATGATGGCCCTGAGGTCGCTCACCTGTATATAGGCCCCCAGAGCGGGGCCAGTTTAAACCCCAGGGCTTTTATTTGAACAAACTTGGAATACACCCATAAGAAGATGTTTCATGATGTTAAGTTTTTACTACACACATATAATGAAAAACAATGACCTCTGCACACCTTCCTCCCTCTCCTTGCCCCCCCACCCGGCAGGGCCAATTTTAACCCAAGGGCTTTTATTTGAACAAACTTGGTAGACACCCACAAGAAGATGTTTCATGTTAAACATCTTACCTCTAGCTCATTGGGCTTTTTAAAAGAAGATTTTTTAAGTTTTTACTATACACATATAATTAAAAACAATGCCACCTCTGGGGTGGGGCCAGTTTTGACCCAAGGGCTTTTATTTGAACACATTTGTAGACACTTACTAGAAGATGTTTCATGCTTAATATCTAAACTCTAGCTATTTGGGTTTTTTCAAAGAAGATTTTTTTAAGTTTTTGCCATACACATATAAGGAAAATCAATGACCCTCGGGGCGGGGCCAATTTTGACCCCAGGGCTTTTATTTGAACAAACTTTGTAGACACTCACTAGAAGATGTTTCATGCTTAATATCTAAACCATAGCTATTTGGGTTTTTTTCAAAGAAGATTTTTTAAGTTTTTGCTACAAACATATAAGGAAAATCAATGACCCCCTGGGGCAGGGCCAATTTTGGTGGTTTATGAGGAGATGTCATTTAAAGTAAAAGTTTACGGACAGACGGACACCGGACAAAAAGCGATCACAAAAGCTCACCCTGTCACTGTGTGACAGGTGAGCTAAAAAGCAATGGAAAAGTAACATTAGGGCAATAACTCTATAATTACTCTGGACAGAGTTATTGTTCTTGTGTACTGCATTTCCTCTTATTGTTTTTGATCATTGTATGAAACTGTTTTGTATTCCAACCAGTACTTTTAAGTTATGCTCCAAACAAGGAAAAGTAACAAAGGGCAATAACTCTGTAATTTTTCAAAATGGAGTTATGGTTCTTGTGCACTGCACTTCCTCTCAATGTGCTTGACCATTGTATGAAATTATATTGAATTTCAACCATTTGTCTTCAAGTTATGGTCCAGACAAAACAAGCAATGGAAAAGTAACAAAGGGCAATAACTCTGTAATTAGTCGAGATGGAGTTAGTTCTTGTGCACTGCACTTCCCCTTATTGTGCTTGACAATTGTATGAAGTTGTTTTGAATTCCAACCAGTAGTTTTCAAGTTATGCTACAGACAAGGAAAAGTAACTAAGTGCAATAACTCTGTAATTAGTCAAGATGGAGTTATGGTTCTTGTGCACTGCACTTCCTCTCAATGTTGCTTGACCATTGTATGAAGTTATATTGAATTCTTCAAGTTATGCTCCAGACAAGGAAAATGCAACGGACCAATATACCCCCCCCCCCCCAAACTTCGTTTCGAGGGTATAATTACAGTTATCACTAAAGGTGATTAATACCCCCTACAGCAACATTGACTTTGAAGAAAAGTTTGAACTGAACCTAAAGTAAATGAAGTATCAAAAGTGTACAAAGAATTATTTCAATGAATTCATTATTGCAATACCAACCAGGGTCTGTTTGTTTTATTGTTTCATTTTACACCTTTTCCCAACAATATTTCAGTCATATAGGCGGGTACTTTCTTAACCATCGTTCCTGGAAAGTTACACCAGTACTAAACTACCTTCCACTGTGCTAAAACTACCAAAGCATCTCCCGGGGATCGAACCCGAGACATAACTGGATTAGAAGACATCGATTCTAACCCCTCAACCAAGGAGGCCGTTTCAACCAGGATCTTCATATAAGCTTGCTATACACCTAGTTTGATTACAATACCTCATTCCTAACTCTAGTTATTGTCCGGCAACCATTTTCTATTTTTAGTAACAGTGACCTTGACCCTATGAGGTCCAAATGCAATACCAACCGAGGTCTTCATATAAGCTCGCTATTTTCACCAAGTTTGAGTGCAATATCTCATTCATAACTCTAGTTATTGTCCGAAAACCATTTTTCTATATTTAGTAATGGTGACCTTGACCCTAGATGGTCCAAATGCAATACCAGCTGGGGTCTTCGTATAAGCTTGCTGTTTATTACAATATCTCATTATTGTCCGGAAACCTTTTTTTCTATTTTAAGTAACAGTGACCTTTAACCCAGGGGATCCAATTGCAATATCAATAGGGATCTTCATATAAGCTTGCTATACCCCAAGTTTGATTACAATATCTCATTCCTAACATTAGTTATTGTCCAGAAACCATTTTTCTATTTTTAGTACCAGTGATCTAAACCTTGAACCTTGGGATCAAAATGCAATACCACCTGGGGTCTTCATATAAGCTTGCTATACACCAAGTTTGATAACAATATCTCATTCCTAACTGTAGTGTTTGTCTAAAAACAATTTTTCTATTTTCTATAACAGTGACGTTGACCCCAGTGGGTCCAAATGCAATACCAACCGGGTCTCCAAAATAAGGTTGCTATATACCAAGTATGATTGCAATGCCTCATTCCAAACTCTAATTATTGTCCGTAAACCATGATGTGGACCGACCGACCAACAAGCTGACTCCTATAAACCCCCCTTAACTTCCTTTGTGGGGGTATAATTACAACACCTCCAGAGTGGTTGGAAGGTCCGAGTGTTACACTATAAAAATTCACTAATGATCAAACTTGGCCAAACAAATGTGGCAGTTTCTATTGTTCCCATTTCAAGATGATTTAACCTGAAAATAATAGCTAAAGAAAGAAAGCCTTTATTAAAAACCAACCTTAATTCCTATTATAATTTATAAAGGTTGATTTACTTACTTTCTTTATATTTTCTGGTGTTGGTTCCAGGTTGAGCCATGCTTTTTTTCCAGATTCTCCATCTTGAAGAAAGGGAAAGTTGAATGTCATCCCTTTTATCAGCTTTGTAGCATCTAAAACAAACAAGAATATGGTTGGAAATGACTGATCCTCCCAAAAGTAGCATATAACTAGAACTGCAACTGTCTTGGCGTGAATACCCCCGCATACCACTTTGTCAGAATCAACAGTGGCCATTTAGAGCTCAAGGACAACCTCCCTGCCAAATGATGAAATCTGAGGTAAGTAAGCCAGTGCATTGCTTAGTTATGTATTCTACATGCTTCAAATGTGAAAATGTCAAAATCAATACACTGAGGACCTTAAGCATTTGAGCAGACAAGCTTGAAGTAAAAACCCCTGTGACCTTGATCTTTGACAAAGTCACCTAAAAATCAATATAGGTCATCTATTAGTCATAAACAACCTCAATACCAAATATGAAGACTGTTGACCAAAGCCTTCTTAAGCAATTGAGCCAACAAGCTTTGTTAGGTCAAGGTCCCTGTCACCTTTGACCCAGTAAACTCAAAGTCAATAGGGGTCATCTAATAATCATAAACAAACTCAATACCAAATATGAAAACTGGGTCAGAGGATTCTTAAGTTAATGGGCGGACAAGCTTTTTTTTTTAGTGAAGGCCCATGTGACCTTGACCTTTGACCTCAAAATCAATAGGGGTCATCTAATAATCATGACTAACCTCCATGCCATATATGAAGACAGTGTGTCAAAGGAATATTAAGTTATTAGGCGGACAAGCTTTATTAGTAAAGGCCTGTCTGACCTTGACCTTTGACCCCATGACCTCAAAATCAATAGGGGTCATCTACTCATCAAGACTAACCTCCATACAAAATATTAAGACTGTGGGTCAAAGGAAACTTAAGTTATTATGCGGACAAGCTATTTCATTCAAGGCCTGTCTGACCTTGACCTATAACCCGGTGACCTCAAAATCAATATGGGTCATCTTCTCATAGTGACTAACCTCCATGCCAAATATGAAAACTGTGGGTCAAAGGAATCTTAAGTTATTGGGCGGACAGGCTTTTTTCAGTCAAGACCCATGTGACCTTGACCTTTGACCCAGTGACCTCAAAATCAAAAGGGGTCATCTACTCATTGTGACTAACCTCCATGCCAAATATGAAGACTGTGGGTCAAAGGAATCTTAAGTTATTAGAAGGACAAGCTTTTTTCAGTCAAGACCCCTGTGACCTTGACCTTTGACCCAGTGACCTCAAAGTCAATAGGGGTCATCTACTCATCATGACTAACCTCCATGCCAAATATGAAGACTGTGGGCCAAAGGAATCTTATAAGTTATTGGGCGGACGGGCTTTTTCAGTAAAAGCCCCTGTGACCTTGACCTTTGACCTCAAAATCAATAGGGGTCATCTACTCATCATGACTAACCTCCATGCCAAATATGAAGACTGTGGGTCAAAGGAATCTTAAGTTATTAAGCAGACAAGCTTTTTTCAGTAAAGGTCCCTGTGACCTTGACCTTTGACCCAGTGACCTCAAAATCAATAATGGTCATCTACTTATCATGACTAACCTCCATGCTAAATATGAAGACTGTGGGTCAAAGGGATCTTAAGTTATTGGGCGGACAAGCTTTTTCTAGTCAAGGCCCCTGTGACCTTGACCTTCCCCCAGTGACCTAAAATCAATAGGGGTCATCTACTTATCATGATTAACCCTCATGCCAAATATAAAGAATGTGGGTCAAAGGGATCTTAAGTTAATGGGCTGACAAGGAAAAACCGATGGACGGACGAGGATACGGACGGACTGACAAGCTGATTCCAGTATACCCCCCTCACAACGTATAATAAGGGAGAATGTGAGGGAAAAACAAGAGGTGAAGAAGCAAATTAAAGATAACTAGAACTGTGTCTAAAAGACACGGATGCCCCCACTGACAACATATATATGGTATATAGTGAAAAAATCAACAAAGGGCCATAATTCTGTTAAATTTGGTTTCAGCAAAAATTCCTTCCTTTACTATCATCTACACATTAAGGTTGTTCATCCCTAGAAGTTTAAGCAAAATCTGCCATCCGGTTTAAGAGGAGTTGCGTTCACAAAATGACTATATGGTATATAGTCAAAAAATCAACAAAGGGCAATAATTCTGTTAAATTTTGTCGCAGCAAAAATTCCTTCCTTTACTGCCATCTACACATTAAGGTTGTTCATCCCTGGAAGTTAAAGCAAAATCTGCCATCTGGTTTAAGAGGAGTTGCGTTCACAAAATTTCTACATAGTATATAGTGAAAAATCAACAAAGGGCCATAATTCTGTTAAATTTGGTTGCAGTGAAAATTTTCTTCCTTTACTACCATCTACACATTAAGGTTGTTCATCCCTGGAAGTTTAAGCAAAACCTGCAATCCGGTTTAAGAGGAATGGCGTTCACAAGATTTCGGGACGTACAGACAGACAGACGGACGGAAGGACAAGTGCAACGCTATATGCTCCCCACTTAGCGGGGGCATAATCATTGAGATTGGTTATAAACTTACAAAAGCCAAAATAAATACAAACATACATTAACCATACCTTCCAATCTTCCATTTTCACAAAGTGTCTGAAAAAGTTTCACTGTGATATCAAAATTAGGGACTGCGAATGGACCACTGAAAAATAAAAAAAATAAAACAATATTCTAAGTCAGTTTGAATCCTTAGAAGTGAAACTACATTTAGTTCTTTACAGGTATATTGATTAATCAAAGTTTAAGTTTCTTGTTTGTTTGATGGATTTTTGTCACACACTTTGCACACTTTGCAGTTTTACTGGTATAATTTTACTGATATTTGCCATGTAATATCACTCTCCTTCTGGACAAAAAAGCAGAAATTGGTTCCAGTACTTTTCAATATAACATTTCTCCAAGGATTTTAGTTATTTAATATGTTTTCATCTGCATTCATATATATTTTAGCTACTGTAAAATTATACATTATAATTCCACAAGAAAACATCATATCATAATTGGCTGTTTTATTTCAATTAACAACTGATATGAAAAAAAATGCATATGAAAGCAGGATACATGTACTTGATACATGTATAAGGCCAAAATAAAAAATATGTCTGGTTCAGGGAACCCGACCGACCCTATTTTTTTACCGCCGACCCTAAACTTTTTTTTTGATTTTCGGTACGAAAATTTTTGGGTACGAAAATTACAAATATGAAAATTTTGTTTTACGATGCCTGTTCAAATAGCCGATGAGTAACAATCTTAAAATAATCAAAAAATATTTAATCTTATATGATTCAAAATCAACAACAAGTTAGAATTGTGAATGTTTCTGCAGGAAACAGACAATTTTCAATTGTCACATTATATTTTCGCGTGCCCCTTTTTATAATTAAAAAAAATCGTAACCAAGGGAGATATGTTTTGTTAAAATGGGTGTAATAAAACACTTAAAATATAGTTAAAAAGGAATTAAATTAACTATTAGTTGAGATTGAGCCATTACCAGTATGTGTTTGTAACATACAATGAAATATTTTCTTTTTTTTAAAGGTAGGGGGGTGTAAGGTCTGATGATGTATGTTTTTTAAATTATATTTCAAATCTTTTCAATCACTTTTATTGTACAGTGTTTTCCATTTGGGACATATTACCATTTTCCTGAATAAGCTTTTTCTCTGTTCAAACTCTGTCTCCCCAACCCCTTACTCTGCTATACATCATATTTGTCAACTGCATATAAGTGCAGCAAAGATGGCTTAACATATTTAATTATCTCAAAATCAGTAGCAAACTCCAGGAAATAATGTACCAAAATACAAAATATCAAAACAAGTCACTGATTTTAAAAGGGAGACTATCAAGCTTAACATCAACAAGAGCCACCGCCGGGCGGGGGCAACGCTCGACTTTTTACTTTTTCTAAACGCAAACATAGAAAGGTTTGAACATATACTGACATTTCCTTTTTATAAATTTAGTTGGTCTGTCTTGTCACATTAGTTTTGTTTATATATTTTGTATATATATGAATAGAAACATTAAGCATATTTCTAAAAAAAAAGCAAACAGTACCCCAATTTCTTAAAATAGCAACATGACGCCAATTTCTAAAAATAGAAAAAAAAATGACGCAATTTCTAAAAAAGTAAAAAAATTGACATAACTTCTAAAAATAAAAAAATGACGCAATTTCTAAAAATAGCAACAATGACGCAATTTCTAAAAATAGAAAAAATGACGCAATTTCTAAAAATAGAAAAAATGACGCAATTTCTAAAAATAGCAACAATGCAGCAATTTCTAACAATAGAAAAAGTGACGCAATTTCTAAAAAATAGAAACAATGACGCAATTTATATATATATATTAGTGTGTGTATATATATATAACATGCATATATATATATATGCATGTATATATATCGATGGCTGAACGCAACACTGGTCTAACTTGATTTTTTTTCAAAAATGACTTTTTTGCATTTTTTAGTCTATTTGCATGAAATACATCAGTAAATAAAATATTAGAAATATTTGTGAAATTTTATGGGTTTTATTTACCACTTGGCATTTTGCTCTATCTCAAATGTGATTATAACTTAAATGCAACAGAGAGCTAACTTAAGTTAGAACTGTGTTGCATTAATGGAAATTTACTTATTGGATGATAACACTGAACTAACTCTAGTTTAGCACAGTGTTGCTGTTAAATTTAATACAAGAAAAAAATCAGTATTGTTATATTTGCAGATATTAAGTTAGGTCTGGCATATTCATAAATACTTATTTCTACATTTTACCCAATTTTTGTTGCCAAAATTGCAGAATTGTAAATTCAAGGCTCTTAATTAATTCTATTTTGTTTTCAAGGAACATTTATAAGTTTAAATTTGCTATATTATCTCTACATAGTCATATAAGATGAAATAAAAAATAATAGTAAATTAACCTTTCAAAAAGTTTTATCATAATATTCAAATCATATAATTCACTGTTTGATGAAAATTATTTACAAGACAATTTGTGTTGTTTTTTGTTGTCGTTGTTTTTAATCATAGTGATCTATTAATACTGATGAAACAAGATATTCCACCCTTTAAAATTTCAAGATTTTATAATTATTTAATACAATTTGCTCCTAATTCTTAAAGGGACTCCAATTTTGGCATCATGGGACTTAAAATATATTTTTGAGATTTATGTACACCCCAATTTGATGACGGTCAGGACAAATAACTTGTTGGGTGTTTAAAAACTTTCAGATTATTTGCTAAGTTTTTTCCAGGCAATTTTATGTGAACTAAAAAATTACCTGTTATTGAAAAAGCTAATGCAGCTTTGAACTCAAATTAGATTCTAATAGAACCATGATAAAAATTTTAATTTCATGTTTAAGTATAATTTCTTTATATCTCTTGTGTATCTCTTTGTTTATGTGGCCCGAGTTGATTCATTTCATAAATTCAAATCTTAAGTTTTTTATGCTTTTGTACCACAGTGCAGTTTCTTTAAGTATCTGT